CTTCCTTTCCCTTCTTTCCTTTCTGCTTCTTCCTCCTTCCTTCCCTTCCTTTCCCTTCCTCTCTTCCTTTCCCCTCCTTCCTCTCTTCCTTCCTTTCCCTCCGTCTGAATGTAAACAAACAAGGGCAAGATTTCACCCCCTTTTCTCCTCTGCCACTGCTGATTGGTGGAAGGAGAGGCGTTTTCCAGAGGAGGAGCGCCCAGTGATGTTCTTAACTTTACGGGAGGCTTCTTGGGGTGCAGCTGATGGAGAGGGAAGGCGAATCATTTTTTTTCCCATGGGGGAATCCCTGCTTGCTTGGTTGGTTTTCAGCACCCATCATCCTCTAACTGCGGAGAAGATGGGTGCCCCTAATACCCACGCCCCGTTTTTCTTGTTATCCAAATATTCCACATGTCAGTAAAGATAATGGAAGTTTGTTTAGGGAGCCCGTTGGACTTGAGCATCTCAAGCACATCATACATATAGATTACTTTTTTAAAAAAAATTATCGCATGTAAGAATCTATTGTTATACACCTCCCTCTTTTATTTTAAGAGAAAGGTCACACATCTAGGCCTTTTTGCTCTTCTTATCCCTAGTAAAGAATCTCACTGGATCAAAACAGCATCAAATCTAGTCTCATGTTTCCAGTACTGGGCAACCATATATTTCTGAAGGAAGTCTGCAGATAAGACAACAAGACTTCTTGTTAGACTTAAGCATCTGCTTTTCAGTGGTAGATTGCCCTTGCACATTGAGGCTTTGCTGTTAATCATTGATAGAGCTGCCTATGTTCTTTTTAATGCATTTGGTTCCATAGTTGCTTTCTTTTTTTAAAAAAAAAATTATATTACCATTTTCTTTGTCATATCTGGTGCGCTGCTATAATAGAGGAATCAACGTAAAAGTCAAACTTTTACAAAGATTATATTTCAAAGTTCATTTTTTTTTTATAAAGGCTTTCTAGATTAGACCACCCAGAATCCTCCTTTGAGAGAGATGGGTGGTTCAAAAATGTGAACAATAAACACATAGAAAATCTGCCTCACTTGGAGGATGAAGATTCTGCTGCTTGAAGCTGTCCATGCAAGGCTTCTAGCCTGAGCCACCATCATCAATGGCCACAGAGGTTGGAGGGTCCCTTGGACACCCAAAGGCAGGATGAGAAGCTCATAACTTGCCCCTGTTGTTGATTTGACCCTCCAGAGCTCATGCTGCTCATGCATAGAGAAGTTTTCACAACCTTGTCCCAGGGGCAGAAAACATGTTTTGCTGTGCCACTGAGATCTCTGAAGAGAAGATGAGGACAGCTTTTAGGGAGAAAATGAAACAGTGGAGTACATGATTAGAAGGAGCAAAAGTAAAAAAAAACAAAAAAAACAAAGTGTTTTGAGCTAATTGGAAAGTTAGCCCATTTGACACAAGCAGGCTGTGGAATGCAAATTACAGTACTTTATCAGATCATCAAGTGTTATCTTCAGCAACAGAAAGGCCGTAGAAGGGAGAGATTGAGGCCAAAGGCAAATGAAAGCAAAGATCCAGCAAATGTTTAGACCAGTGTTTTCAAACTTGGCAACTTTAAGATAATGGATTCCCAGAATTCCTCCACCGGCAAAATTCTGCGAGTTGAAGTCCACATATCTTAAAGAGGCCAAGTTTGAAAAATACTGAATTAAAAACCTGAAAAAAAAACCCGTTCAGTACGAACTCTCTACCTCAGGGTTGCCAACCTTTTGGAGCTCAGGGACCATCAAACTCATAATTTTAAATTCCGTGGACCAGAGACTCTGGGAAAATCCCAAAAAAAGTCTGCAGGAAAATTCCCCACCCCATTTTCCTACCAATTGATCATTCTTTATTTGGGATTGCAGGATACCGTCTCCAGCTCCGTTCTCAGGGGAGGAGAGAGAGAGAGAGACTTTTGGCTTGATGCAAGGAAAGCAGCAGAAGCAGCAGAAGTCTTTCTTTTTCTCCACCAAATTCCACCAGAAATGAATCTTTGTGAGACTTGTTGCACTGGCACAGCCTCTTGGAGCAGGATGCCTTGCAGGGTCCCAAAGACTCATTTCTGGTGGAGTTTAGGGGAGAGAAAGAAAGACTTTTGCTGCTTTCCTTGCATGCAGCCAAAAGCAGAAGAAGTGGAAAGAAGCAGCCCAGTGGCCGGGCAAGTGAGGCAAGTTCCCCCCCTCCACCCTTTCCCCCCTCCCCTCACTACCTCGTGTTGTTTGCAATGCAAGCCTTGTGTTCCCATGCAGCCTGGATTAATTGCTTTGTGGATGCTTTGGGAGTGACATTTCTCTGAGGACCACCAACATTTTCTCATGGACCACCAATGGTCCACTGGTTGGCGGCCACTGCTCTACCTTGTCATTAATAACAACATTCAATTATTGAGCAATGCTGAATTAATTCTCATAGGGAATCACTATTGAGGCTCATATGAATGGAATTTCTGGAGGAAACTTATTAAACTTACTCCTTTATAGAAGAATCCACTCACCTCCCATTCTTAAAGGGATGCTGCATATGAATAAGGGTGGATCCTATGTGAATGCAGATGATAATTAACTCAGTACTGTTGAACTAATTGCGTGATGGACTATCAAGGATTGGGGTGCTTACTTTAAATACATTTACAGCCTAATTGAATTCTCAGTTTGCAATTCTTATCTGTCCCATTACTTGTTAGCCATCTACCATGCTACCTAGGATACCAATGATAACACACTGCGTCCAAGGGATTTTCCACCTACCCCCACCATCCACAACCAAACTGCACAGTCAACTTTCTCTAATCCCCATTGCTCAAGCCAGCTAGGAAACCATCGATGTCACATTTGGGAAGGATAATTTCTGTCTTTGGGTAGGTTTTTTGTTTTTGTTTAAAGTACCATTCAAGAAATACTTCTTGGTTTGGTACAACCTGGGCCATCCTTCTCTAATTTGCTGACCCCTGGCGATTTTGGATTACAGTTCCCACCATCCTTGACTCTTTCCCATATTGCCTGGAGAGCTCAGGAGAGTTGTTACTGAACAGAACAGAACAGAACAGAACAGAACAGAATAGAAATGAATTCTTTATTGGCCAAGCGTGATTGGACACACAAGGAATTTGTCTTGGTGCATGTGCTCTCAGTGTATATAAAAGAAAAGATACACTCGTCATGAATCATAAGGTACAACACTTAATAATAGTCATAGGGTACAATAAGCAATCAAATCATACCTTCCAAATGTTTTCATGTCCTTTCCAAAGAGTGATAACCTCTGAAAGTAATTCCCTCCTTTTGCGGCACAACCAACAAGCTACATCTAAAGAATGAGAATCCAATCAAGAATATCCCCAGTCATTCATTCTAGGGAAGGATGCATGGGGGAAGCCATATGCAAATATTCTAAGAAATTCTCCATCATTCTTAGATTGAAGGAGAAAAGGGGAAACCGTTTTGTCAAAGGAAGGAAAAACTTAACAGACCTCTTCCAAGTTAATGCAACCGATACAAAGGGGGCCTGTGCTGAGCAAAGATAATACTTTTGTTCCTCTTTCCTATGTTAAGCAACATTAAGCAAGAAAAAGGAAATGGCATAGAACAGGGTCTCCAACCTTGGCAACTTTAAGCCTGGAGGACTTCAACTCCCAGAATTCTGGGAGTTGAAGTCCACTAGATATAAAGTTGCCAAGGTTAGAGACCCCTGAATAGAGAATCTTCCCCAGAGTAAACCACTGCTGTCAGCTTGCCATCACTGAACTCTCTACATTGACTTCCAAACAATGGTTCAAAGTTATGACGGCCTTGGGAAAAACAACTTATGACTGTCACGCTACCCTTGCGGTCACTTGACTGCAATGCGGACCCTTGGAAAAACCTGCTCCCATTTACGACAAGATCCTGCATTTGATCGCTATTTGTGAGCTTTTTTTCTTTGCCAATTTCCAGCAAAAACCACCCACTAAGGAAGCTGGATTTACTTTAATGACTGTGTGATTCACTTAATGATTGCTGTGAAAATTGATATAGTCCAACTTGACTTACCTCCACAAGGACTTAGGATGGAAATTTCAGCCCCAATTGTGGTTGGGGGGACTATAGTCAATCTGGGGTTACCCTGATGCCATCCTTAGGCAATTCACAAAAGTCTGCTTGAATATGTTGGGCTTCCTGATTGGCACCTGGGTGCTGTCTCATGAAACTCCAAAGAATCTCCTCTTGCCAACTGCCTTCAGCTGAGCGATGCTCTTTGTTCCTTGCTAAATTTTGCTTTGGATGGCCTTGTGAAGCAAAATTTGACTTGAGCTCTTCGGACAGCAAGAGAGCTGGCAAATGAAGAAAAATAAGGAGGCGGGGAGGGAAATTTGTGCAACGCCATTCTAAATTTTAAATGCAATGCAATTCAAAGGCAGGCTCGATGATAATGAAATGGAGCACATTGGATATTTAAAAAAATACCATATAGTGAGCCTGGATCATTAGGCTGTAATGGCTGTTAGTACTTGGGGAATACTCTCTTATGGAAACTCACTGGAAAATAAGCATCACTATGCCATGTAAACAGAACCACACTTTGCTCAAAACAT